TCATGGAACGCCGAAATCCTGAATCTAGAAAAAAACCAGCCAACTGAATCAAATGTCTTGTTTTCATTTGGATATAGGCAGTCGACAGCAGCAGAGTAGACTTCAGAAAGCAAGTTAGCAGAAGATGCATCTTTTAAGTTTGAATTACCAGATATGCCACTTACACCTGTAAGCCTTCTATACCATTTTCTCCAGAACTTCTCACCGCTGCATTTAAAATTAGAAGGCGGCCCACTAGATTGGCCAGCATCAGTATTTGCAGCGACACCTTCATGAGTAGCTTTTAAAACTTTGCCATCATCCATTTCAGCAAGCAATCCTTTCTGCTCCCAGTTTATGTATGGGTAAGACAAGTACCTGCTCTTCTTCCGTTCTCTTGACTCCATGCCTTTTTCAATCATTCCCTCATTCGCACCATCATCATTTGCTACATCGAAAGCCTTGCTCTCATGTTCAACTTCAGAATCCCGCTTCATCTTTCTCTTCCTGGATTTTAAACCTGAGATGAAACCTTTATCAGCACCATTGTCCCCATCAAAACCCTTGACTAAAACTGCATTCCCTTCATTCGTCTCTTGATGTAAAACTTTATCCTTTGATCGCTTCTGCGAAGTAGTTAATGGTGTGCTTTTCAAGAACACTTCACCTAACTCAGTATCTTCATGTCCAACCTGAATGTCAGCATTACTTGTAGCCATTGACCTGTAATGAGCAACGTCTCTAGCATAATTTGTCTCCTGGAGTAGATGCATAGGCAGCTGGCTGTGACCTATGGAGCGGTAGAAGGCTGATAATTGATTTCGTGTGACAGTAAAATCAAGCATTCCAACCGATGAAACAACTTGTGCAAGATTTTTGAGATGTGCAAGAAACTCTGCAGAATTAAAATGAGTAATTGTAAATTCACCAAGTTCACCAGATTTGCGCTCAGGCATTGGAACTCCTTCATCAGATGCTGCACCACCAACTGAGAGGCGATTTTCTTTCAGAACACACATACAAGTCATATTCAATTTTACACGCTGACCAAACTCTTCGAGAGCCTTCTCTACAGCTCCAAGGAATATTCTAGCCTTGTTCTGCCCTGACATCTGCTCAAAGTACTCATGAAAAGGTTTTAGTTGGTAAGGATGGCACCATGCAACATGACTCATCCCAAAATATCCAACAAGTTGACAAGCCCCTTGTTCATCGCTCGCACCATACTTTGATGCATCTACAGGATCATAAATTTTCCCCGGCCACCATGTCTGAGTTTTGGTTTTAACCCATACAATATCACCCACAGCAAAATCATAATATTGATAATCAATACTGTTCTCCTGTTCATCATCTCCAAATTCTTCTAGATTTTCCTTGCTTTCATACCCAGGAAAACTTGTCACATGAAGATCATTTTCATTAAATCCTGGCGGAGGCCCACTAAAATCCACAAACAGCGATATACCTTCACCAGAAACTTCTATCTTCTTGCTAGCTGTATCAATCCCATTTGGTCCCAATGCTTTGTCTTCATTCATGCCATCATCGTCAGCCATCTTCTGATCTCCATCCTTTTTACTCTCATCTCCACCCAAGCCCTCTAAGCTCCCATCTGATTGTGGCTCCACTGAACCCATTTGAACATCATTTTCCTTATCTGGTTGCAACTGCTTAGAGCCCATTTGAACCTCATTGTCTCCATCAGACTCACCATTAACCAAAACAACCTCCTCAGCCCCCACACCTTTCACGCAACTGTTTAAAACACCAGACATCGAATCCACACCCAATTCCAAATCTTCTCCTTTTATACCATCTAGAGTTCCTTTCTCAGCTTCTAACACTTGAGCTGCCGCTTCCACAGTTCCAAGTCCAACAACGTCAGAAAAAGATTCTAACCCAGTACAGTTTTCACTCCACTCTAACAACCCAGAACCCTCTTCTAGGGTTTTACCACTTGGGTTTTGAGCTTCTAGGGTTTCTGGAGTCCTAGGGTTCTCCATTATCAACAATGTCCCAAAAAGTCCAGTTATTTTTCACAACAACTCAAAGCTGATGAAGAAAGAAACAGAAAAGAAGAAGAAGAAGAAGAAAGCTTTGTTATTATCACTATGCTATACGATAAAAACATTCAGCACCCAAAAAAATTCCAAAACTAAAGGGCAGAAGGGAAATGAAAATAAAAAAGATAAATAAACAACAACATTCTTCTCACAAAAAATAAAAAACCAATAATATTGCGCTAACAGAAAGAAAAATTGAGGAAATGAAGCAATAAAATTACCTCAAAGAAAAATACGATATTCACATGAGTGCCGAGTCTTTGATCCGAGCAGTCCCAGCTTGGAAAAGCTTGATGCTTGTGAATTATAATCGGTCGTTTTGAGGAATCTCAAAAAGGGTAGGGAAACATTTAGGCGAAAGATACGTTTCTAAGTGAGTGAGTGAGTGAGTGAGTGCGTCTCTCTCTCTCCTCTCTCTCTTCTATTTGTGCTATGTTACAGCAAAGTTTCCGTAAAAGTGCCTTTGTGGCTTCCAGGTTCCGGATACACGTGAGAGTTCAACACTCGAGAGTAGTATTGAGTCTCTTTTGGCTTGAAGTGGATTTCAGCTACTCCAAATAAGTATTTATTTATTTATACCATTTATACCATATTTTTTTAAGGACCAATAATAAAATGTTAAAATGTAGGGATATGTCAAAAAAGAAACAGAAAATAAAAATCTCCAACCATATCAACTATCTTGTTCCTAAAGTAGCTTCATATGAACTATTTGACTTTTGATCCAGTGGTATTTGTCTTTTCGGTATTAAAAAATATTCCAAATTCAAATTTACGATCCCCATTAATAGAAAAATAAAGTAACCTCAAGTATCTCCTAAATTTGAGAAAGAGAATAACTTCTAGTGACTACATATCTAATATTTTAATACATTTTACAATGATATTATTTATTTATTTGGAAACTTTTTGGTGAGAGGAATATAGGAAAATATGTTAACTAAAATGACTTTCCAGCGATTTTAGTTAAAAATGAGGAGCTCATAATGTTGTTTTCTTTGTCCTTTATTTTTAGAGTGGTGATTTCCCCACTCAAATTTTATCTACTTACACTCTATTTTATAACTAAAAAATGAGTATAAGTGGATAAAATTAGAGTGAGAAAATCATTACCCTATTTGTATTACTTGAAAGTTTAAAACACAATGTAAAATATCACGGCACTCTGGTTGGTTGTCTAAAGTTGACAACTTCTCTCTAAATATTGATGATGACAAGGATTGATTGTGCTTGCAGTACATAACCCTTGGTAATGATTTAATCACTGGATGACCTTTCATCATTTTTTTGTTTTGGATTATTCATAGCAATGGTCCCTCAACTATACTCGAAGCTATATTTTGGCCAGTCAACTCAAATATTAGTTGCACAGGTCACTCAATTGAGTGTTGTGTTGCACTATTAGTCCCTACAGTCAAGTCTGTGACTTTTTATGTTTAAAATTATGACGTGACAAACATCACTTAAATTATTGATGGGCAAATGTGACTTTTCAATTAAGATTATTTGTAGCAATGATCCCTCAACTATACTCGGAGTTATATTTTGGTTACTCAACTCCAAAAAATAGTTATAGAGGTTACTCAGTTAAGTGTTGTGTTGCACCATTAGTCCCTACTGTTAGAGAGACTTGACAATAGGAACTAATAGTGCAACACAACACCCAATTGAATGACTTCTGCAATTAATATTTGAATTGAGTGACCAAAATGTAACTTCGAATATAATTGAGAAACCATTGCTACAAATAACCTTTTTGTTTTCTTTCTATGTTCCTTTTCCGTATTTTAGTTTTGACGACGAATTATTTTGATTCGGTTGCACTTGTGCAAGCTAAAATCCCCATACTCTTTCCAATGGCCAGATTCCATGACATGAATATATTCAAAATCGTGATTTTGCAGGCGAATGTGAACAAAACTCAAAGAAACTGATGAACGAGCACTAAAGATGCTTTGGACTAAGACTGCTTTGTATTGTATCAAATGGGCGGCAATAGACCACTCTTCTTCACATTGAACTATACCAAATTACTTGAATTTAAATAAAGAAAAAAAAACCATTCCCGCTATCACTAAATCGGGGTCCTCGTAAATCTGCATATAGTCATAATCTTTATCATTTTTGTATCAACTTGGTGTCTCCAGAAAATCAAGTCCACCCACGGCTTGCCATCAGACCCTACAACCTGTTGTGAATCAGTGCTTTTTAGCTTAGTGGTTCATATCGGCACACGCAGTTGTATATGTTCCCTTTGATCAATTTTTCAGCCAACCTTTGATTCTTCACCATTGCAAGCTGCAAAACAAGTTGTTCTTGTTAATATAGTGTAAAAGAAAATATTATGCTCTCAGAGAAGCTTTGTAACTTGAGGAAAATCTAGTCCCACATTCCAAAATAAGACATGCATAGAAATCTCACCTTTAAAGCATCACATTTAAACCTTGCATTGAAGTTGGTATGAAGAGCTCTGCCCATCCCTTCCAAGATAATCTGCATGGGTAGCATTTGGTCAAATATAGTGATTTGCAGAGTTTTGCTTCCTCGTTCCTTCTTTCTTTTGTGTTTAATCTATTATAGTAATGCTGGACAATGATTTCAGTAACTGAAACGAGCATCATACCAAATCGGCCTCTTTCGCAGCAGCAGCTAGCTCAGAGCTAACCTGCCGTAAGTCTATGCAAGGACTGCCACAACCATTCTCAACAACCATCAACGGAACTGAAGATGAATTTCCTTTAGAATCATCTAGAGTGCTAACCATTGCATCCACAAGTAAGCCTCCCGCTTCAGCAGCTCTGCGAAGAATGTCACAATGCTGTCGATAGAAGTATCAGTTTCTTTTTATTTAGATATATAATATATAGGAAAAAAAGGTTAAAAGACTTAATCATGCTTGAAACCAACCTTGGCAGCTTCAGCAACAATTTCAGGAAGTTCCATAGCAGTTACATCATTTAGAGCTGGGAGGGAGTTGGCAACCAAAACAACCTGCAAAAGCAATCTCATTACAACATTTTTATTACATAATTTAATTATATACAAAAATAAGCTACCTTAGGCAACTACATGCAAAATAAACTTACTTCTGTTCCACGTCGGAGAAGTTCCCGTGCTAGGGGCAGCATTCCTAGAATAACGTCAGCACCTGAGTTATCCACAAATAGCAAAGCTCTTTTATGTGGACGAGGTTTCTTATCTCCAGATCCCAACATTCTCTCTTTGAAAACGTCAAAATCATCCACCTAAATAAAAGATTAAAAGCTCTTTTACACAAGCATAGCCAATTAATAATTAATTTAAATGAATTGAAAGGACAGAGGAACTTGATTTTAAATTCCACTTACCCGCCAAGGTCTTTGCATCTTATTGCGGCTCATTCTGTAAATTTCAATAATCGTTCCTTTGTGATAGAGATCCACACAGGCACGAGATCCCCAGTCAAAAATGTTTGCAGCAAGAACACCTTCAATAAGGGTAAGCAGTCTTGTTTCCTGCAAATTAATAAAGTTTCAAATGATAAGAACAATGGTTCAAAAAGTGCCAGATGGGCTTTTCATACTTTTGGATAAAGTTTTGCAAAGACAGAGAGAAAGATGAATCAGATAAATATCAGCTGATATCATAATGGTGTATGATAACCACTATATTGAATAAACTATGGGAAGCGCACCTCAGTCATACTATCAAGCTCCATCAGCAGATCAGCTAAAACAGCAAGTGATGCCTCATTTTCTCTGTTGCATTCATAAACGAGGGGACTGAGGCTTAGAATAAAAAGGGGTGAAATAGTTGAGGCGCACCACTGGTCCAGTGTAATTACCTCAGCATTACTTTCTATTTTCCTTTTACAATTCTTTCATTTTGAGATCTTTCATATTTTGATCAAATTCACTTGTCTAAAGACCATATCTGTTAAACTCAATAGAAATACGCTAGAATCAGATTGATATCATCTTGGTTGCTTCATGAATTAAATGCAATTACCTTTGTTTTATACTTCTATAGGCATCAACAAATTGGAACTCCCTTAAGCATTCTTCTCTCAGTTCCAATAGATTGGCCAACCCTAACTTTCCATATGCAGCAGGCTCCTCCATCAACCTATACAGCGAGTTGGAAGTTTTTAAATGGAAGAAGTACACCTTCATTGATCTCTAAGAACAAATTATCTATAAAAAATACTGGTTTCAGAAGGGACACATGATAACTCTACAAACTTGCACATAAGGCAACTACAGATTCACATGCACGCTGCACATGTATAACACACAGAAGCTAGTTTCAAGCCTCATAGCTGTCCAAAATTTTATATGAAACAAAGCATAGAAATAATCTCTAAGAGAGCATAGTTACCGTGCCAAGTGAGCAGAAAAAGCACGAGCAAAAGCATCACCCCTTCTTTTAGCATCATCTGTTCCACCTTCACTTGCCACTGCCTACCATATTTCAAATTGAACTCTCAAAGTCATAAATCAATAATAAAACATATCCAATCTGATTTTCTGTTTACATGAATATAAACAAGGAAGAAACTGAATACACAAAGAACAGTAACAAACTGGAAATGGATAACCATATAAACAAAACCAAAGACATTTTCGAATCAGTGATTTCTGAAAGTAAACTTTTAAATATTTTCCACATTTAACTATAACTTATGCAGATCTGGTTGCCTATAAACCTTTAGACGGAAACATAATTTGGTTCTGTGAAACAGATGCTCTGGTTGATGCTAATGTTTACCTTATCAACGAGATCAGGTAGATGCTCTGACAGCACAGTAAACCAATACCTATAGCACAAAAACACCTCAAATTACCAATAAAAAACAAAACATCCATATCTTTGGAAACGTATAGTTTCAAATTACCAATTATAACAACTAATATTGTACAGATAAGTTGTAAGGAAATCCAAACAAACAGAAAACTAACAGCATGTACTCACTCTAACTCGCCGTGATCTGAGAGATCGATAGTGTTAGGCTCATACCTGCACCGTCATAAAATAAACACAGGACTTAAGAGGTTAATGCTCAACTATTCTAGTTTAAGTACAACAGAATCAATTAGAGAAATGCAACCAATATCTATTAATTAAGATTAAAAGACATCGAAACTTAAAGCTAAATATGAACTACAAAGTGAGTGACATGAGAGATCATCAACAAAAACACAAATCATTAAGATCCTAGTACAAGATGTGCCCATGACAGCACTAAACATATTAAGGTCTCACTTGTATCACTGTAAAGGATACCAATACACTGAATGAAACTGCCAAAGTTCCGTAAAGGCACAAGCTTTTGAGGATATTATGACATTTGGGAAGGGTGTACTTGAACTTGGGACCTCCATTTTGGAAGAGAGGTTTACCAAGCTAAGCCCTGGCTACAATCTTAGTAGAGCAGTGAGCAACAACAATCTGTAAGTTAACTTACGTTTTTGGGTCCGCCAATAATGGAAAGACTT